AAATGGCTGCCATCTTTTGGTACAGCTAACGCTCTTTAAAAATAGGCCAGAAAAATCGCTGCACAGCCAGTTCCCTAGAGTTTCCAAAGCTAATAAACCAGTTCTACTCCCTACATTCCTTTTTCTTTCCCCCTTTTCCTGAGAAAAAGGAGAAAGATATGGGTGGTCCAACCCCACGTGTTGCTCCCAAAACATATTTATTCTTAGTGCAGCAGATGGTCCTGTTCCTCTTAAGGAAGTTTCTGGTAAGGGATTTTTGTCTTAAAACTTTCCAGGGTGCCCCTCCTAACTATCCTACTCCATTGTTATGTATTAAAACCAAAATCGAATCACTGTGGTGCAACAAGGGGCGGGGAGTAATTGAATTTTAATAGAGAAAGAAAATGGAGAATTTTCTTTCTGAGAGAGACTCAGAGAAGGTAGACTAAAGCAGCTTACCGTGAAAGATGGGGTTTTAAATCCAAAGCCTGATTATTAGTTTTGGATTTTTTTCCCCCATACGATGGCTTAGATTTCTCCTCTACTCACTGGTTAACTCTCTCTTTCCATAATTGCGCTTTGTCTGGTAAATTTTATTCATCTCACAAGGCATAGATCAAATGTCACCTACTTTGTGAAGCCTTCCTTAGTTCTCCTGGGACTCCACAGACTCTCCTTCTTTGTCCTCTTACAGCATTTTTTTTTTTACACCAATGTAATAGAACAAATAAATCATTGTCTTATAGATAATTTGTGTTCCCATTTTTACGCCTGGTAAACAAGAGACAAATGTCTCTCCATGGACTTTTCGCTATTATATAAAATTATATATGGTATATATACCATGAACAAATATGATACATAATATCAAATATTATATAATACTTTTTCATGATGTATTTTAATTAAAAAAAATTTTAGTAACTACTAATAATGAGAGACTGTAGAGTATAGTAGTTAAACCATACCTCTGAAGTTAGACAGACCTGGGTTCAAATTCTGTGACAACTTGGGCAACTTACTTAACCTCCTTGGACCCCGAATTTCTTATCTTTAAAAGGAGAATAATACTAACAATGCTACAGGGGAGGAAAATAATTTTCCATCTACTCTTCTGAATTCTTGGCTGAGAACTTCTTATAATAAGACAGATTAACAAGAGGAAAAATAGACAGACGTTTACTGACACGTATATCTAAAGTATACATGGGAGACAGCAGGGGAAAAATGAGTCAGAGGTGACCCAGCCTACCACCTTAAATGTCATCTTCAGCTTACAGCATAAAGAATATAATAAATAATATTGTAATAACTATGTAAGGTGTCAGATGGGTACTAGACTTATCAAGGTGATCACTTCGTAAGTTATATGTCTAGTCACTATGTTGTACACCTGAAACTAATATAATATTGTCTGTCAACTATAATTGAAAAAATTTTTAGAAATTTTAAATATTGTCTTCAGCTAAAGACACAAGGAGCCAGTTATGGGAGGTTACCCTGAAAAGCATGGTAAACAAGGGTAAAGTTTTTATTCGGATTTTAATAGATGTCTTCTCCATTGAAAAGATTCTCTTGTGATCTAGAGTCATCCTGCTCTGCCTGGTCCAAAGACGGAGACCCTTACAAGTGGAGAGTCTCTTTATAACTGTAAATGTCCCTCACAAAAGTGTAACTTCTCCTCTGTTTTGCAAAACAACTTCTGGTCAAAATAATTAGCTTAAAATAACCTTATGCCAAACAGGCATATTTTGGGGTAGGAATGTAGAATGAAACAATCAGGATATGAAAATGTATAAGAAATATGATTATAACTATGTAAGGACTACATATTATGCAGAGTGCTTAGTTTCAGTGGAGCATTGTTTTTCTATTTCTCATATGTTTTATAATGTTCTTGTTATTGCTTTTGCCATTAAAAATGAATTATTTAATGTGTAAAAATAAAATAATCAGAAGGAAATGCAGTTCTGTTGGTTCATTATCACTCTGCGGCATCCAGAGTAGAAAGGCGGCCCACACCGGCGTGTTGTGTTCCCCCAGGTCTGTCGGGAAAGCCCTGTTTACTTTTGACCACTCGCAGGCAAGGTTGAACGGCTCCAGGGAGAGTCCTCACTATGCAGTGGGGATCTTTCAGGCTGAATTCTTCCTTTTCCTCCCTCCCGCTACTTTTGTAGACTCTAGGAACTACTAAGCCCGATGGGGAGAGTGGGGCGGAATCTTTTTACTAGGGTTTTGGTGTTCCATATTAAGTTTAATAATAAAAAAATACCAAAATAACACCCTGCAATTATATGGTTTTGCATGCTTTAGGATTTGAGGACATTTTAAGGAAGTTTATTTTCATTTATTTTTCCACCTTCCCTGGTAAGGATAGTAACATGTTATTTGTCAATGAGAAAACTGACGAGATCATCAGGGCCGCAAATCCTGAATTGGGACAGAGAACCTCCCCATTTCTAGTCTGCTGCTTATTTCAATGAATCTTATTATCTACTTGTGGTAAAAATATTTTATGTTTTAAAAATATGTTGAATCATGCGGTCAGAGGAGATATTCTCAGTGTAGTTAACTCTTTCCTTTCCTTTCTTTCTTTTTTCTTATAGGCGGGAAATGTTTCATGTGCCCTCAGCCTCTCCAGAGAGTTTCTTCTCTATAGTACGTAATGATAAAAGATAAGCCACAAGTCTGATTTACTGGGAAATCCCTTCTGCTCCTGGACTTGAATCTCCGCAAGTGAAATACAGCTATTTTTATTTTTCTAATTTCATAATCCAAGGCACATTTTTAACTTTTGGATTTAATCTTACATACTGATCAGTGCATCAGGGGGAAATTTTTAAGTCAATTGGAAAATGCTAAGAAGAAGATATCAACCTGTCTTTTTCCTCCTCCACCCGGAACCAGTTATATATTAGTGTTGCTTCATTGGGGAACAAGTCCAGAAGCCTGTTTCTTCAGGGACATTTAAAACCCAGGTTTGGAAGTAGATGTGAGAATGAGTGTAATCAGTGAGAGCTGTGTGTGTAAGGAGAGGGATTCCGCAGGACTCTTCACCTTGGCTGCGTACAAGGAGATATCAGTTCTTCTCTTTAAACCAGTGCTCACTATGCCATACAAGCATCTTACCTAGTTAATGCAGAGTTCAGTGTCAGCCTCACCAGAGTTGAGCTGAAGGGAGACTTGCTAGCTTAGCTTTCTGCTTGGATTATTTTGCTTAAAAGTTTGGTGGTAGATGGTGTCCCAGGTTTTCCTTTAATAAGACATTTAGATACTAAAGTAAGATACCTAATCACTATTATGTTTTCATATTTATAAAATATTTCATGTAGGCCTTTACAATTGTATTTATTAATCACTTTTTAATGAATCTATTTAGTAACATTATTACTGTCTGATAATTTGATGAAAAAATAGGATAAGGAAGTAGCGGTATGGAAACACATAGGCAATTAATGATACAGGCAAAATGATAACCAATGTCCCTTTATTTCTTTGTGCTTGATCTATTATAATCTCTGCCTCTCTCAGAGAACCGAAATTATGCATTATTATAGGTAAAAAGCAGGACCCAGCAAATTGAGATTCCCGGTTCTATTTCTGGCTTTTTAATATTTTTATTGGTGTTTTGGATTCATCATGTCCATTCTCTAAAACTTCATTTCTCCTCTTCTTGAAAAAGGATGGTGTTTTCTGTCACCTCCTTTCCTCCTTTGCCAGGGTGGAAGTGGTGTTTAGAAGCACATTGAGCTCCTCAGAGAAAGATGCTTTGGGAGCATTAGAACAATTCAGCACCTCCTTCTGAGATGTGCTCAGAATCATGCATGGAGGCTAGCAGGCAGGGGTAACTGCCAGCCCACTGGGCATCTTGCAGCCAATGTGGGCACAAACAAGACACAAGACTCCTATAGTTAGGCTTTTTAAAGGCTCTGATAGAGTCAGGAATGAATTAGCTTCCAGTTCTCCAGAAAGAGTAGGTTGGGTCTCTCAACTTCTCTTTCATAGTACTTAGTTGTCATGTCTCATTGTAAGTAGTTCTTTAATCTCTTTTTTCTTTATTAGACTCTAAACTCTGAGAGGTTGGCCTCTAGCATAGTATCTGGCACATAGTAGATATTCGGTGAAGATTTCCTGAATAGATGAGGAAATGAATGAAAGAATAAAGCTTCTTCCCTATATATAAAACTGACCGTCACACTATCCTAGATCCGCCATCCTGATGATCCCTTGGTCTAAGAGTTAAGTACTACTTTTCCTTTCCAAAGTCCTTTGCACCTTCGGATCTGTGAGGCCTGATTCAATCTTCTTCTTTTTCCTCCTCCTCCTCCTCCTTCTTTTTTTTTATACCAGGTACTCTTCTGGGAGTGAGGGCCTTACGTCCTCCTGTGCATGGACACAGGAGTTATTCGAGATGTCCAGTTGTCAGTCGTGTGCGACAGTGAAATTGTAGGAAACCTTGGCAGCACTCCTTGGGACCACTGTTTGTTAATCCGTATTATTCCCTATTCTGATTTCTCCCAGGCCCAGATAATAAGAGAATGGCCAGGAATGTGTTGAAATATGAAAAGCTCTTGGCAGAGAGCCCCACCCAGGCAGTAGTGGAGGCTGTCATCCAGAGGCCCAATGTACCCCACCTGCAGACCAGAGACACCTACGAGGGGTTGTGTCAGACCCTGGGTTCCCAGGTAGGATTTCTC